AACTCACATCTTTCTCTCTTCTAATATTTTGTGAAGAAATTCATATTTTTCTGTTCAGTAATTCTAAGCAAAAAGAGAAAGGTTGGCGCCAAGAAGAATGCTTAATCATAATCTACAGTTCAAAGCTTGGACAAGCTATTTACATACTTGCACAAAAAGGATTAGCAACTGTATTTTCTCTATTTTACTTATCTAAATGGAATAATATATTTTCTTAATATGTTTGTTCTTATTCTCTGAATTTATATTAGTAATTAATTTAAATTATATTCATAAAGACAGAGAGCCGTTACTCACCCTCTTCGCTGTGTATTTCATGGTTTTGTATAAATATATTATCATTATTATTATTATTTATGATGACTATATTATTATATATGACTATGTATATTGTTTCTTTTTTAATTATTGATATATATGAATCCAAGCATTAAGATTTCATTTGTATTAAAGAAAATAATTCTTTAATACAAAAAGAACAGGAATAAATTTTTAAACTGAAGTTTTGTGTATTTAACGCATTCTTAACAATCTCCCCTTTGTAATCAATTTCCACAAAACCCTTCCTTAGCGGATCTCTATTCATCAAAAGTACAATGCCTGCCAAATTTAAAGTCTAGGTGTAGCTCAAAAATGGTTATTGCTGTCTATAAGACCCCCACAACACTCCTTGGAAGTCGGTTTCCGCAAAACTCGTTCTCGGTAAATCTCTACTTAGCAAAAGAAATATACCTGCCAATTTTTAAGTCTATAGTTCTAATAGTTAAAAAATAGGAAATTTTAACCATAGCATTCCAGCAACCTCCTTCCTCTTTGGGAATCAATTTCCGCAAAACCCGTTCTTAACGGATCTCTACATAAAAAAGATCATGGCTGCCAAATTCAAAGTTTGTCGTTCAAATATTTTCGGAGTATGTATCTGGTAAGGAGTGAATGCGTTGCTTTTTTCCCCTTGGTTTTCCTTCATTTTGGAAACACAAAACGATCCTAATATTTTAAAGTGAGTTTTATTTGCATTTCAAGATTTCCTGTGTTATTTTTATTTTGAGTACTTCATTTAAAAAAGCATTTTTAGTAGCTTCAAGTACCCCCATTATTCTATCATAATCTAAATATATTCAAAAAATACCTAATAAAAGCCTTGAACAAGTCAAGATTTAGAATGTTTTAAATATAACTAATAATACATAAACGAAAAAAAATCTTTATTAATACTTTTTTTTCGTAACATTATAATTAATCAAATCCTCTTTGTGAAGTTAATTGAAATAATGATTGTCCCAAAGAAAAAACTAGTCACAATTAATTCTAATGATAATACTTTTAAAAAAAAGTATATTCAAATATTTTTGAAAAAATATATTTCTTAAATGTTGCATGCAGCTAATTAATGGTATTAATTTTAATACTTTAATTAATTTTAATACCTTTTTTAAAAAACTGAAATACCTAAAAATCTAAATAAATATACGTTTCTTTATTCTAAAAAGATTAAAGAGAAATCTGGAATCTAAGATTTAAAAGATAAAATGTTATAAGAGTTTTAAAAAATCAATTTTAATTTATATATAGTTTAGCCATCTAGTTTTTTTGGGGGGGGGGGGATCTATCGTAACTGTTTACAAACTGTATAGATTTTCGTTAGGATTTTTTTTTTTTTTTACCATTCTGATTTCTTACACCAACTCCACCTTATCAATGTTCTGTTAATTCCCTGACTACCGAAGTCATGTTAGTATCAGAAGTCGATAAATCTATACATACACTTGTCTACGAGGTAGTAGATCATGTTTTCTTGGTCTATTCCCAAAGCTCTTTCTATCCTTAGCCAATTTTATTTCTCTATTCCTAGATAATATCAGTTTTTTTTATTGATTCGTACACTTAATTTTTTATATAGAATCAATATTTATTTGTTCGATTTTGTACATTTTTAAATGGTTATGTTTACTTAAAGAGTTTGTTTATATTAAAATTGTGCTTGATTCTATTTTTTGACTATGCTTCTAAATATCTTTTGGTAGAAAAACTAATGTTTCTACCTCATGAATAATTTACTAGATTAAATTAAGAATAATTAAGATTTTAGATTAATTAAGAAAAATTTATACTAAGATTATAATTTACAAGTGATTGCATTATTTTTATTTTATTTATTTTATATATATATATTTGGGTTTTTTTTTTTTTTTACTTTTGAATTTAAACACTTATAGACATGACATTGCTATGAATTTTGAATAATGAATGTTTAAAATAGAGTAAATAGTTTATATATTGAAATATAATACGTTTATATTACTTTCTGTGGCATTTATTTTAAGTTAAAGTTATAATATTCACAAGCAATGCCATTCCTTACATTATAATGGCGATTCAATGGAAATTTGGCGAAATCTTGGCGATAGAGCCAAGTTTATATTTTTTTGGCGATCATGTAGGTGACTTTGGAAACCATGTTGGTAACAACTTTTGTTGAGTTCCTCATCATATGGATTCTTCTGGAAATTAGTGGCCAATATCGCAAGCGGATTTTTCGAGAAAACTCCGTGCAGTTTGTTTTGTCCGTCAGTGTTGTTTGGATAGCGATTAGTTGGTATTGATTTGACTAGCGATTAGTAGTATTGTTTTGAATAGCGATTAATTTGTTTTGAGTGGCTATTATTAGTAGTATTGATTAAAGAGTCAACCAGTGATTAGAGATTACTTCGGTTGTTGAGTAGGACGAGCGAGTGCTTACGAATAATCTTAAACATACTTTTATTTTAGATACTGATAATTGTACTTAAACGCCGTAGATGGCGGGAAGGCCTTCTAATATTTATTTTGCGAATATTGCTGTTGTATCTTGTATTTCAAGGATTGTTTTTCGACAATAAATTTCCATCGCTTCTGGAGAACTATCTTGCTCCTTGCGACTGATTTGCATAAAATCCTCGAACTCCGATCTACGTAACAATACGAATTTTGCTTTTTAATTTTTCCATAAACACTGAGGCAGGGGGGGGGGTATTTACGTCGCACTATAAAGCAAGTTGAGAGCTATTGGTGACCGACCTCGTAATATAGAACCATGTTCAAGTGACGAGGATAACACCTGAGCTATGTGTAACAATCCCCTCTCTGAATTCCCACACCACATCAACGAGAGGACATTGAACCCTTAAAGACTTAATGTGCACCGACCAACTCTACACAGCGAGTCTGCAGTGGCACCAGGACATGAACCGCGACACTCCGGTCTCTAGTTTGTGACCATAACCACTAGGCTACCACATCCCCAAATAAATAATGAATTTATTTATCTTATTCGTGTTGTATGGGTATTCTCAAATATTGGATAAGTGATAAAAGATTCTAAATATCTATAGCCTAAGGATAATTATTTGGCAAAAGCCGTCTAAGAATAATTTTCTCTAATTAGGAAAATCCTTTTTAACAAACCATTTTTTTTTTACATTTATGAAAATCATAAATTTATAAAGTTATAAATATGTTATATGTAAAAATGTTTATTTAAATATTTAAAATTATGACTGAATAAGAAATTGCGTTATATTTAAATATATATATATATATATATACAGCAAAATTCGAATTCTAATCTGCAATAAATATAAATATGGCATTTAAGTGTGTGTGTGTGTGTGTGTGTGTGTGTGTGTGTGTGTGTGTGTGTGTGTGTGTGTGTGTGTGTGTGTGTGTGTGTGTGTGTGTGTGTGTGTGTGTGTGTGTGTGTGTGTGTGTGTGTGTGTGTGTGTGTGTGTGTGTGTGTGTGTGTGTGTGTGTGTGTGTGTGTGTGTGTGTGTGTGTGTGTGTGTGTGTGTGTGTGTTAATCACGCGCGCGAGAAAATTATTCATCAAATATTCTATAATTAAAATTATTTATTATTAATTCTTGAAAAAATAATAATTTTGAAAAATGACTGTTCAGAAATTAAAACAAAGAATTTTAATTAAACTAATTACTTTTAATTTTTTTAAAGATTTTTTTTATTACTGTGTATTTGGTGTAGTAAATTTTGAAATACTACTTTAAAAGACCGCATTTACTGCTGAAATAACATTGCCAAATTTTCCTTATACATATTAACCACGCCACTTTAATTTGATAACTACAGTGACTTAGCAATCATTTTAATTTAATAAGCAATGACTCTCTCACCCTTAAAATGAGCACTCAAGACGGAAGATGGAATTTAAAACTGGAGCAGGAATGTTTAATTCAATTTCTAATGGAATATTTTCTTGGGCTTGAAAATATTCAGTCGCGTTTATTTAACTCATTTATAAGCCGTGACCATTACATCATTACCATATCTTATCTCATAAATCATGAAAAGTTAATGAGAAAGTTTTTTTGATTTAAGAAAAATAAAGGGTGAAATGTGAAAGTCTTGATTATAAAAATTCGTTACAAAATAATCGTTTAACATAACAATATAACTTTTCTATCACTGGATAGGTCAGTTTTTTTGTATGTGCAATAGATAACGGGAGTGCTCTTTAAAGAGGAACAAGAATATTTGTAAGGAAAACATCATTTTCGGCCAAAATGGCGTTGATGCAAGGGAAAACCCAACTTGGTCTTTATTTACACGGAAAAAAATTCGTCCCTTAATCTTCAGCGTGAATTTCGACATTGCCATGGACGTCTTGATGCATTATTGTCTTGTTGTGAAATCAATACACAGCGATGGTATAAAATGTTTAAAAACAAGTAACATAAAAAAAATTAAGTCAATTCCTACTTAGGTCAACAAAGAAAGATGTTATTTTAGTTACTTTTTATTAAATAATTATAATTATAATATAAATATGTATATACATATGACAGAATAACCTTATTAAGTGGCAAAATAGAAAGAAAAAATTTTCCATTTTCCTTTATATATATGGTGTTGGACTATTAGTTTTGTTTACTATTTATACATTAATTAAATCTAATTATTCCAATAAAATAGTATAGTAATAAGAAATTTCATTCTCAGAAATTAGGCCATCCCAGGTGGGATTCGAAGCTACGATTTTGAATTAGAAGTCCAACGCGATACCCATTGCGCTACAGGGATACTACGAGCAATTTTCCTTTTTATATATGGTGTTGGACTATTATTTTTGTTTGTTACTAATTATTCATTAATTAATTAATTAATATTTGATAAAATAGTATTAATATCAAGTGTCATCCATTACGAGTTTAAAAAAATGTATTTGAACCTGAGTGGATGAATAAAAAGTATTTCATTAAGGATTGAAAAGTTAAACAAGATATATATATATATATATGTATATATATAGGGAGAGTGTGAACTAAATAGTAGGAATTGAAAAACAGGCAAAGTAACAGAAGATACGTTAAAGAACAATTGGATCTACACAGAGTTACCGAGGGAGCACACGTTGCAATTTACTGAGGTAAATTATCTAATAAAAAATTCACAACAGTTCTTACAATATATTTAAGCAAACATATCTCTATTCATAATAGTTTGAGCACAATAACTATTTACAATCAGGGGAAGCCTTAGGCTCACCCTATATGTTCTACATTATTTCTCTGCTAAAATATAATTAATGTGTATAAATTAATGTAATTTTGTTCATACGAATAGCACCTTTAATGATTTCTTCTTTTTGACATTTTGAGACAAGATTTAAAAATGATTCTTTGTAGAAGAATTTCTGAGAGAAAAAAAATTTCCAAAAAGCTAAATATAAAAAATATACAAATTGACATCTATGAAAAATAAGAAACACTTTGAGGTTATAAATCTGTTTAAACTTATAGAAAAGAAAAAGTCACAAAAATAAAAATATTGAAAGAAAATATAGTTAAATTTATTTATGTTTCAGAATTTGAAATTAATTTGGAAGAATATAAATTTTTTGCAAAATAATTTAAAGACAAACATTTGAAAACACTTTAAATCTATTAACGTTTTTAGAAATATATTCATTTATCACAAGCACATGCATGAAGATTATTTATTTCGTAACGTATCAAACTAAAATTAATTATGCACAGATGTGTGATTTATCATTTTTATTTTATTAACTGTGCATTACTTACCATGTAAGGTCATATTTACAGATTTCATGTCTTATACTTAATCAACGAATTTATATTTCAACAAGTTATATCTCTCAGGAATTGTAAAAATATCTGAAAACGCTGACCTGTCTTTTTGTCAATACCTTCTGAATTAATCATAAATAAACTACAGCTTTTATATGTTTTTTTTCTGAAAAAGAAATTTAAAAAGCTAATACATTGGTACCCTCAATATATTTCATAATTTTATCAAAAATGGTTTGGATCTTCCATTTCTTTCAACTTTTATGTTACTTTCCCGTGTGTCAGTTATATTTCAAAATATTTCCCATTTAAAAATAGAAATAAAAAATATATAGGCTGTCTGAAAAGTATTACTACACTTTCAATAATTATTTAAGAATAAATGAACAAAGATTTTCACTTACGGTTTATTATGTTCCAAAAAGAAAAGATTAAGTTTCTGTTTCATGAAATGCAAACTAAGTGGATCAAAGTCCTCGTTTTTCAATATTCTTACTTCAAAATGGCATCACCGCAAGAACAAGTGTAAGTAGTAGCATGGTTTATCGGTCTTAGATCTGCAATACATGTACTGCGTGAATGAGGTGCCATTACACTGGAGTTTGGGAGTGAGAAAAAGGTCCTCGAGTAATAAATAGATAAAGGAAGTCCAATAACGTTGTCACCTAGAATCTAGACATAGCACCTTCGAACTTCTTCTTGTAGGAATACCTGAAAAGCATTGTTTCCCAATCTTCAAATAGTGACACTGAATAAAATGAAATGTCATATAACTGTGGCTACTCAAATATTTGATTCTGCAATGCTTCAGAAAACTTGGCTAGAAATCTCGTATAGACTCGATTTGTTGCATGGAACTTGTGGTTCGTTCATTGTAAAGAAACTTTGATATTTTCCTTGTGGAATAAGAAACTGTAAGGGAAATACTTTATATATTTGATTTTTTTTTTTTTTTTTGTAATTAATATTTGAAAGTGTAGTCATACTTTTTGGATAAACGACTTTCTGACTAATATCAATTTACAAGCATTCCAAACATTAATAATTAATACATATACGGCAGAAGTAAAGAACAAATAACTCTACTTTGTGCATTTGCATGTGCAGTACATGTAATTCGATTACATCACCTTATATGTTTATAGAGAGAGAGTGCCGAAGTTATACTGTTATCTTTTGGCTCTAAATAAATGAAGAAAAATAAAGAATACTTTTAAATAAAAAAGTCTTTATGCGGATGTTCCGAAAATAGCGCCCAGAATCTGCCCGGCCAGATTCCTTATTGGGAGTACATAAGTAATACCTAAAGTCCTGTACCTGTACCATCCACATTTTACGAGAAAAATACGGTAAATGATGATACATGAAAATGAATGAATGATGATTCATCATCGTTCATAATGAAGATTCGGCGCATTTCTGTGTTTCTGTACGTGATTGGCTGGTAATGACATACTCCAACTGATGGATAGGACGTCGGGTTCCGGTACAATAGTTTCCATGATTGCCATATCTCACACCATTCAATTTTTTCCTTATGGGATAATCTTAAGTTATTGGTGTTTCGAGACGTAGTGACTGCACAAACGGACTTATTTGCTCCTCTGCATGTTGTTTGTACTTCGGTGAACAGCAATCTGCACTGACGTGTGAAATCATCCCTTCCATGGAGAGCTCAAGCCTGCCTCGAGATGCATATGTACTTTTTGTACATCTGCCTTTTTAATTATTTTCAAATACTGCTGTTGATGTGTCCAATAGGGCGCTTTTTAATTGTTATGTCATACTTTGTTTTACGTATTTTTCTCGTAAAATATAGTTCTGGTACAGGTATAGTTCTGTAGACATTTTTATGTAATCCCTACACGGAGTCTATCTGTTCAGAGTTTGTGGACTATAGATAAAGAGTGTAATTTTTAACATCCCTTTTTGTAAGCTTCACTTGTATGTAACGGAATCTTTGAATTCAGTTTTTACCCAATTTAAAAGGTCAGATTAATTCGAAATTTTACTCACTTGTCCAAGACTGATGCCAATGTTGTTTGTTGTTGTTTCTAATGCCTCCTGTCTGACGGTGTCAGATCGAGGCTCACGATATTCATCGTGGCAAGGGGCTAGGTGTACGACTGTCGTTAGACTTACACCTTAGGACGTACGCCTGTCGTTATTGTATTGTCATCGCCTGTCGCCGATGACAATATAATAATTTAATAATTTTGTTCCATGGTATTGATTAAGATCATTAGGATTTGCGATTTCTCCTTTTCAGATTCCATCTCGCATCTGGCGACTAATTTCAGATCCCATTTCCAGAATTGGCGACTAATTCCGGATTTGGCTACTAAAAGATTAAGTTACAACTTGTTCCATTAACTATAAAAGGGTGGTTTTTTTTTTAAACTTTTGTTTATTTACAGTAAAATTTAATATCTTCTAAAACTATTTGAGTTTAATCTGCTAGAAAAAAAATGATTTCCATTCATTTTTCTCTCCTAAAATATAATTTATTTTCCATAATTAAGTCTATGAGTACTAATAAATACACTAATTAAAGTAATAAAATATTTTAACTTTCATAAATCTTAGTGATAAAAGGCAGGACAAATATGTACTATTTTAAAAGCATACAACTTTGTGGGCTTAACAATAAATCCTGCAATTTAAACAATGTATCAGGTACATTTTGTTCCACCGACTTGTGAAATGGTTGGAAAAAGCATTTAACTATAATAATAGGTTTTGCCAACTGTGAGTAGCGTAGTTGGTAAGGTTCTGGCCTTGTACGCCCAAGTTTGCGGGTTCGACCTCTGCCCAAGTCGGTGGATTTTTATCATGCATAAAATCGATAGTTTCCATGTTGTATCATTATGCGGCATGTTAAGGTCCCTAGAGTGCTTGTTTGTCTTGGGTGATCTAGGCAAAATTAAATTCCTGGTACAGTTTCATATCGTCAGAGCTCAGTTGCCTCCCTCTGGGGAGGGGACTTTGCGTCAAAATTGCACTGTAGCAATTGGTATCCACCTATATGAATGCCACACTAAAAAGTGATACCCACAGTTCCCGGGTAATGAATAAGATCTGCAATGGTAATTACCAATCCACAGCCCCATTCGAAAGAAAAGAGGAAGGTTGCTGTAATCATTATCGTTTTTTCATTTGAAAAGAAAACCAATAAAATATTTAGACGCCATTAAAAAAAATCATACTTTTTTACAGGAAATATTTTTATCCTCCAATCACTTTATTAGCAACTTCTAAATTTAATCGCTATGCTATGCAATGTTAAAATCGTTGAATTTCAAGAATAAATACATTGTCTGAAATTATTGCATTTATTTTTAAAATGGAAAGAATATTCAATCAAAAACGAAGTAACAATTTTTTTTTATCATCATTGCTTTAATTTCACAAAGGATTTCTTTTTTTATCTCGCATATTTTTTATTCTTACAAAAAATATCTGGAAACATATTTTTTATCTTAATGACGTTCTTTCTTTTTACAAAAACAACACACGTGATTTAATAACATTAGACAGATTATTTTTTGTAAAGACTATTACTCGAAACCAGCAATAAAAAATAATTGCGTAAAAGTCTTGTTTAGTCAAAGTTTCTATTTTTTTTTTCTTTTACATTTTTACATTCAATTAGATTCGACGCACTCGAACACTCATCGCTTCTTATTCCTCTTTAAGTATTTGATCAAAGAAATAGAATTAAATTTTTCGTAAATTATTTATTTTAATGCAGGGAAAGGAATAGATATAATTAATTTTCCCGGTTTAAAATTCGCTCTATTTTTAGACGCGGAGCGTAAATAGAAGTGTTTGCCAAATACTAAACATTATTTATCAGCTTTCTGAGGTTATAAAACTGAGGTCGGCAACCTACGGCACGCGTGCCACATGTGACACGCGGCACAATTCTCATAGGGACTCTGAGCAACGCAAGAAATTTGTCAATTCTTGAGTGAATGGAATTTGATAAATTTG